CCCCAGCGGAGCCTGGCTGGGCCTCGAAGACGTAGAGCCGAAACGCCTCCTGCCTGGCGTTGGTGAAGGTCAGCTCACGGGGGGCACCCGCCATGGGTGGACAAGGGAACTGGGACGAGAGGAAGGGCGACGACCGGCCTGGCGTTGGAGAACCTCCACACGGGGAAGACAAGGCGGCGGGCAAGACCGGGAAAGAACAGGCACAAGAATAAATAGAACAAGGACAAAAACAAGATGTGATATCAAACAAGGAACTTCTTTTGGACAAAGAGGGAGCAGGAAATAGGTAAGGAAATAGGAAAAAGCCCAGTAGTAAGTGAGTATTTTGGATCATTTTTATTTCTTGTGCTAATGTTTTTTTTTTATTTTTCATTCGTCTAGTAAACGAAGAATCGAGTTCGGTGATTGGCGCACGACTTTCTGGTGAAGATTCTTCTTTGTACTAGAACCTAGAATTTTATCCAAGGCCGCTTTTTTGGCCGAAAGCTTTGTTATTTGCCCCTGAACATTCTTCATCCGTTCCGCAAAGTCCTTCTGCTCGACATAACGAAGGGCATTCAGCTCCTCAATGTGTTTTTTCAACCTAAACAGCTCTTCCTGTTTTCGCTGCATTCCCTCTAGAAAAGCGTTCCCTTCACTCTCCATATCAGAGAAGCGGAGAAACAAATCGACCCCAACTAATTGCCCTAAAAGCGATTCGAAATAAACAGCATCCGCCACTTCTGAAGAAGACCCCTCGCAAACACGTGGAAACAAGTTTTCTCCTTCGCTAGATTTCTTCGAGCTGAGAGCTCCTGCGCTGCTTTCAAGACGAGGATGCTTAAGGCTAGGCTCCATCATCGTCAGGTTTGATAGGCACAAGGAGCGATCATCCTTTTCTTCTACTCGAGAGGGGTTTAGTACGGGATTTTCGTCCTTAAGACTAGCTAGTACCTGAGATCGGTCTAAAGTGGATAAAAAAGGATTCTGAGAGGACCTTTTTAAGATAGAATTGCAGCCAGTTTGGAAATTCGACATTTCTTCCAGAATACGAATCTGCTTTAACGTGCTTAATTCAGAGGCCTCTCGTAACACATTTTGGGCGGTTGGAT